TGTGGGCATTTTCCACTTGCACCGGTACTCTGGCAGGGTCTGTATGAAGTAACTTTTGACAAAAATGAAAACTGATACACATACTAAGAAAATTAAAAAAACAAAAGAAAAATTTATTCTCAAAATCTACAAAGCTGTTAATAAATTCATTTGGATTCGGGAGAGGATTTCATAGCCGTACATTTTAATTTTTTGTGAAAACGCCGTCGTTAAGATATAGTTCTTCCTATTTATATATATATTAACGAAACGACTGATCCGGTTTTGATGAAATTTGGATGCGACCCTGTCGGAAACACCCTTTTAAGACGACAACTTTGTGGAAAATACATAATTATAATACATCATTTAGTCAAATCGAAAACTTTTTTTTAAAGTCGCTTGAAGATCTCAACTATATGAAAGTCCGAACCTTTCCTCTACTCTACAACCTCATAATTACAAGAACATTTTTTTTTTGAAACGGACATTATAAAGTTAATTTCAATGTCAAAGAGAGGAGGACTCCATTCTAGAGGGAAAATAAGGTACTTAATTAACTTCCCTATCATTACTATAACTACTTCAGTGACAAATACACAGCAATGCCGGGTATGCGTCGTTTTCACTGTTGCATAATTACTCGCATGGTTTCACTGCGCGTGCACAGGTCCGTCGGAGGATGCACCTGTAATTGGTAATTGGTAACGTTGGCGATTGGAGGACGTGTAAGGCGGCCCCTAATCAAAAGAGAAAATGAGACTGAATCAACGTACCCGTCAAAAACTTTTTTAAAGAATTACATGTAAACCATTTTTGTTAAAGTTTATTGGTACTTTTATTTCTTTGTACAAAATTAGTTTAATGATTTTTACATTTGATGATTTTTGGCATTCTTAATTGTTTTTTTTCCTTTTGTAATTTAGTTATGGGAAGTTAATGAATGGTACGGTAATGGACTGAAAATACTATAGTTAGATAATGTTGCGAATCACATATTTTTAGAAGTAATGCAAAGTCAATTAAATACTCGATAACTTATATGATTACTATTGTATATTTTCCTCAAATTTATCACCAGTTTAGCGTTTGGGAAGCGTTTTGTGATAAGGTTTTGAATGTACTATCGTTACTCGCCAACATACATCACAACTGTAGGCCTATGCATACCATATTAACTTCGATTTAGTTGACATTGGATTAAATCATAATGTATTCAACGTTCAATACTGTAAGGTTAAAAACAGTATGCACGCCCTATTGGACATACATTGGGTTGAATCAAATGTACTCAAAGTTCAATACAGTAATATTATAGATTGAGTTCAATTTGATTGAATACAATGTCAATAAGACGAACATAGTTACGCGTTAAACCTACTGAGCTCGGAAAAAAAAATATCGCTATAATCGGGTGATATTAGTTCCGTTTCGTAGCATTATCTGTACAGGAATAAAATATAAAATCAATATCGTTTTAACGCGGTTTAACGAACATAAGTCGTTTTAACGAACATAAGTCTGCACAAGATTGACATTTTAAATCCCAACCACGAGTTTTTGGAAAAAAAAATTATTTTGCTTAATTTGAATTGAATTAGGGTGTTAAAAGTATATTTATTTTTCGACATCGTCTCCTTGAAGCGCTATGCATTTCATCCATCTATGCTCTAAAGCCTTGATGCCATCCCTGAAGTGGTTTTCTTCAAGCCCTTCAAAATAACTGTCCACGGCAGACATCACCTCGCTATTATTTTCAAATCTTTGTCCATCTAAAAAAATTTTGAGCTTAGGGAATAGATGAGTCAGAAGTCAAACATTCTTGTGAAATTTGCATACGAACGCGTTTTTGGTCAACTGTAAGCAATCGCGGCACCCAATTTTTTCATACATAATTCTTGAGTCAAAATGTAATGCGCCCGTTCTTTAGAGATACCTATAGTATAGCTATCTCGGAAAGTTTCGATCTTCGGTCAGCTAAAACTGCATCATGAATTTTGATCACAATTTCTGGAGTAGTGGCACTTTTTGGACATCCTGGACGATGTTCATCTTAGGTGCTGGTACGGCCACGTTTAAATTCAGCCACCCAATTTTTTATGGACACATATGAAGGAGCATTTTCTCCCAATACATCCTTCATCTTCGAAAAAATCTCTCCACCTTTTAATCCTTTCAATGCAAAAACTTTATCACAGCTCGTAGCTCAATTTTATCCATTTTGCAGAAAAAATAAAAAAAGGTTTTTTGAAATGTCAATATTAAAAGAAAAGCTATACGATCGATTTGAAATTTGGAACATTGGCACCTAATGAACCAATAAGTAAAATACTAAGGAGATTTTTTATCGTTATTATACAAAATATGGGTTGGGCTAGCTATTTATCATCCCGCACTCGTATTATTAGGTATAAGACATATTATTTATGATAAATTTGTCTATTTATGCAATAGTCTAATGTATTAGCTACTTTTAAAAATACTCTCTCAATCTAGTGATAGCTATAGAAGTCATTATATAAATCGTCGACCTTGAAATTAATATAGGGATCGTATGATACGTGTAAAGTATACTACCTGCCCGATGGGACGATGATCTCAAAATGGCTGCGGGGTTATTCTGGAAGAAAGAAGCGGACAATAGCAACTCTATTGTCTATGAAGAGGTATTAGAAGTGTATGCCCAACGGTGGACGGCCCTGAAGAAGATGCTTGTAAACGGCTTATCCATATTAATACTGTATATGGAAAAGTGTGTTTGTTTATACTTATTTCGCGTTAGAGCAGAGCGTTATTCCGGCGCATAGAAAATACAATGCTTTAAAAATCGAGGAAATCCTTTTGTTGGCATTCCTGGCTATTTAATAAAAGCGAAGAGACCTTTCACTTTATCTTTAATATCCTTTTCCTTATAATTATATGTACAAATATTAAGCTTCAGTAAATAATAACTTGACCAGGTATATTAATAAATTAACTTGACCTTACACTTTATATAAAAGTGAATCCATTAAAAATACTGCTTGATCAACTGTGAAATGGCATCAATAATAAAAAGTAGTTTTAGGTATCCGGTTTTCGTTGGGTACGCAGACATAGACGTGCCATGAGTCATTTTGAATAATTTGACTTGTAACTCATTAGCATTTTGAATCCAAATTTTACAATACCTATAATTAAAAAAAATGGTCATGTGCGTGTCGTGCCACGCGCATTGTAGGGTTACGGCAGTTTTTATAACAATGTTATTGCTCCATGGTATCGCAAGACCTCGCACTGCACAAGAAACCATTGTAACACTACTATAGATGCAGTTAAACACCATATTATCCTCCGTACTCGCCAGGTCACGATGTAAAAAAAAATAATCGACTCAAAATCCTCAGTTCTGTCGCAAAGGCATAAAAGATCTACAATAGATGGCAAAAAATGAGTGTAAATATATCGATTAAATAAATATGTTAGGTAACATAGTTTTTATTTTTAGTACAAATCAGCGATTTCATCCTTTAACCGCTAATAATAATCGCATCAACTATAAACCTATTATGTAACACGGTTCAATCAGTATGGCTAGGTGATAAATTTAGCAGTTACAACCTATTTATTTACCCATCAATACGATTCGGGTCAATTTCTACTTTGCCTCCATTAGCTTATGTAGGTATTTTCCAATTTTTGCGTGCCATTAGTTTATTGTACATATTTAACGCTTTATACCCTAATTCTTCAAGGTTTCTCTTAATCCTATCTTATTATTAAAAAATGACAGAGGTTTTTTATACCCTTTAAAACTCGCTACTGTACCTCCCTTTTGAAGTATAAGTTCCCCCCAATTCGCAGCAAGTTTTACCAAGTAGTCCGGATGCGTTTGAGCCTGCCTTTAGCGTAATTTAATGCAAGGAGGTGCATCCATAGGTCGCTCGCCAAGGGCGTCGACCTTTAATCCGCAATTGGCCGACTATTTAGTTTACAACTTTTAAGTAACATTTAGAATAAGTAGGCCGAATATTTAAATCATAAATATTGGAATCCTCTCAATACTATTTTATATGTTACAAGCAAATAATTGTAATTAAATACAATTATTACTTTTAATTATTAAATACAATTGATACTTTTTTATTTCTTGTCAATCAATCTCAGTAGTCAGATTCAATTTGAAGATGATCATGATTTCATTTGTATTTATACACTGTTTAGTAATATTATTCTTATATTAAAATAAAAACATTAATGTTTTTTGTCAACAAAAAAGTTGGCAACTTTGGATTCTTCATACTGAATTGTAATCATTATATCCAAACATTTATGAATCCTTAATTAAAATTTTACTCTTACTAAAAATCTGATTCGACATGAATGACAACACTTCCAATAAATTGTTTTAATATAAAGACTATAAAGTTACAGTTCACATATTATAGAATAACAACATCTTTCTGTTTGTTATTGCGTTATTACAAAATAAATATAATTTATTAATTTTTTTTAAACTTCCATATACCTCAATGTTTAGATATAAATGATTCTTTTCCAAACATTTAAGTAATAAATTAATGGACTAAAAGTTATTAAATTATTATAAAAATATTTTGGAGATTATTCACATTTAAATAATTTATCTCTTGCCTTTTGTGCTATCTATACTTTCTATTTAGATATGATGTCACATGTTATTAAGACAACGTTCCAGCACATTAGTAATTTATGGGACTTATACAACTTATGAACTTTGAAAAAATAATGTAAACAAATATAATAAGATAAACTGTTGTTACAGTGTTCTACTGAGTAAATTATAATAACCAGTAAAACATATTATAATATTTTTTATCAATGAAAAATCACAATCACAGTTAGTAATTTGTTAATGTACTGAAACTTTTATTGTTATAATATAATTCATATTTAAAAAATAAAAATACATGTTCAAATCTAAAAAAAAAAACTTTTATTGGGAATGTAAAAATTTGACAATTAATTGATTCATTCATATGAGAGTTGATTACCAATATCATCTAATTCGTTTTAATTTTTGGCACTGGCAAATAATATGGGATCGAAATTTGCTTATAATTGAAGTATATGAAAAACATGATAAAATGAATACATGAGTACATGGATACCAATAATGGAAATATATCTGGATATTGAGGCGGGGGCTCTACAAACACTGATCCAACTGTCAACCAGAACATCCCAAAAAGGGAGACAAAGAAAGATGTACTAAGTAGTTTTAAAAACACAGAATCTTCTTTTGTATCATTAATAGCTCTATAAACTAAATTGGCATTCATGAATGAGAAAATGGAAGAATTAGTCTGTGATAATCTCAAACATATACTGTAGAAACATATGTAAATAATATTTGTTCCAACAAAGGGCATAACCAAACCATCCTTAATTAATAAAGGTAACATGCTGAAATTGGACACAAGTAAAAACCAAAAACACATAAAGGGATCTTCAGGCAAATGCAGTGCTACTGGAATGGCAACTAACAAAATAGTTTTCTCATGCACTTGAAAAGAAAATAAGAAAAATGCCAAAGAAACATTGATAAGGCATAATATGAACTTCTTCTTATTTATACGGAAAAACATATCAGCACATGATGGCAGCGAAGCTACAGCGGTCATAGAGAGGCACATTTGTGCCATCGTTTCATTTGTATAAATGGTTTTTAGCTTTATAAATACATTGACAAAACACCAGACATTAGAAACTTTGTCTTCAAACACTCCTCTTTTCAAAGGAAATAATCTGTGGACAACTTGGAATATATCTTTCCAAGAACTAGTAAATGGAAACCATATTATTATAAAACATGATATCACAGCTACTGCTAGTTTGTTAAAATTTAGAATAAAATGGAACAATTTGCTTTTAGGAGGTAATCCAATGAAGCATCTTCTTAGCAAATATACAAAAAATGGTAATGCATGGTACAGTTCCATTTGTTTATAATTTAATGCAAGAGTGAAAAATATTGTAGCCATTATGTCATTTTCTATTGCTATAACAAAGAATGTTGCCCACAAAAACAGTCCTAGCGAGACACAATTGTACTGAAAATGACCATGATCGATGAGAATTAAACCTGGATATAATAACATAAGTATTGTTGACAAATCAGTTCTCTTAAATACTATTCTAGTTTCTTTTTGTTTCACTCTTTCAGCATCTATACAAATACATAACACTGCAGTCATATAAAAGTACAAATCACTAAGAAACACTGTCCATCTCATGAACATCTTATGAGATTCACTTTCATAACCTCTCGATGCAAATAGTCGCACGGATTCCGGGTCTAACCAATCGGCAACTAAGCCCATCAGCAGGCTGTGATATGCAGTCAGCGGAGGATAATCTAACCCCCAATATTGGAGATCGTTTTGACTGGTGTTGTGGTACCATTTTGCCGCTGGCGTGTGAACCGTTATCTCTTGCCAATGTCGCTGCGCTTCGTAATCCCCAAACATGGGAGGCTTCTTGTACCCAGAGTAAGGATATGCCGCAACGCACCATCGCAAAAGTAGAACAAAAAATGCGCCTGGCACCAAAGCATCTTTGGTCACACTGAATTTATCAGGATCCGATTTTCTTGTCATTACGTCAGTATGAACACAAATATAACCTATATTTATGCGAATTCATTAAAGAAATAATTATTTACTAAGACGCGACATGCGGGGTAGAGGAGAAATTTTGACAGGTACTTACGACGTGAACGGCGTCCAATTCCTTTATCAGCTTCTCCTTCAGATATCCTTCCGTATACATATTCGTCAATTAAAATCCATTCAAATAATCACACACTGTTCTCAGAACCACTGCACCTCTCACCAGAATTTCCGAAAACTAGTTTACTATCGGGGAATACGATTTTTTTTTTTCGAAAGTGAGAAAATAAGAAAGCGGACCACTCGCGAAAGTGAACTTGAAATTGCGGCCGTGTATCGTACTTATTTCATACCGGATATAGGATAAAACTTCCGCGCATAAGCCCGGCAAAATCTAAAACTGTTTGGATAAGTTTCTTGTTTATTTTTATTTCGTATTGATTGAAATATTTTGAAATTGACCACCCATAGAGAAGATAAAAATGTGTAGTTTAATCTATTTTAATAAATAAAAGTATATTAGACAGTTCAAGTTGACAACATCAAATGAGAAACCATGTATTTGAAACGCGTTTTTATCTAAAGTTATTATCTTAATATTTAAAAATAACTTATAATAAAAATTGTGATACGTCATCGACCTAAACATTAATAGTAAATAGCAAACCTCAAAATTTCTTTAATAAAATCAATTTTATCATAATCATAAGAAAATCATGAAAATGGAAGGAGAATCTGCGATCTTGAAAAGAAATTTAACAGAATGGAGATTTAGTCAATACCCTAAATATATATTGCTACCGATAGATGAAAATCATGATCAAATTAAATCCAACATTAAAAATGTTGTTTTTTCTGAGGTAGGTGTATAGTTTCCACAGTCATCATCATCATCATCATCATCAGCCCTTTTACGTCCCCACTGCAGGCTCAGACCTTCCTTTTGGATGGTTAAGGAGGATGGTCCATGACCTTCTACGCTGACCCAATGCGGATTGGAGGGTATTGACGACTGGAAATGCAGCCGGAACCAACGGCTTAACTGTGCCTTCCGAAGCACGAAGTAGCTCGAGATAATAATTTTGCGAAAATTGCTTAACAACAACGATCGCGGGCCGCGGCGCTTATCTTCTACGCCACCGAGCTACTTTTCCACAGTAGCGAACACCATTTACCATATATTTTGCAATTTTATTATATGTGCTATTGACTTTATTAATGCTTGGATGGAAAGGATCATACTGCTGAGGTAGGTCTGGGAGATAATCATAAGCATGTTGAATTTTAAACCACTTGGCTACAGCAGCCCCCTTATTCTGTTACTCTGGCAACTTCTGAGGACAAACAAAATAAATTTGTTCACCAAGCTGTCTAGGCAAGCGGTTATTGCGCGGTTTTCGATCTCCACTGAACTCCATTTCGACACTCGATCGCTAAACTTTTATTTCGCATTCCGTAAACATTGGTGACGTAAAGTTCAATCAGTGATTTCATCTAAATAAAAAAAGTATATAGCAACTGACTAGAGATTAATGATTAATTAGAAATGAGTTACAGAATACCAAAACCGCGCCATGAGCGTTTTTCCCACAGAGCTTTGTGAATAATATATTTCGGTTGTCCTCAGAAGTTGCTAGAGTTACAGAAGGGGGAATAGACTTTAAATCAACTTTTGTGCTTATTAAGGTGACTCCAAGGCCTCTTGAACGCAATGTCAATCTTGTTTGCTACTCGGAAAATACTCTTACTGATATTCTGGATATGGATCCTGATATTGTCAATCGTGAAGAGTTTGCTGATTTTATCGCTGGGCGCAGACTACCATACGGAGCATTGCCTGTTGCGCATAGGTATGAGAAAGAGTCTCCTAACTTTTACACGATGTACTGTATTCTAATACAAGTGTGTGCGGTGCAAGTTTAACGTTTAAGATACATTTAAGTGAAGTTTTGGATCCTTCAGATTTGCTTTCAAATGATTAAGGTCACGATTGTCGCAAAGAAAAATATTTGTCGCGGAGAAACTATTTTTATTAGGCGCCTAACCAAACCATGTGTCGTTTACAAGGTTTTTCACATCCCTTAATAATGGTCCCATTTGAAGAAGCTCGAAAAATTAATTATCAACTAAAATATATTACTCCACTTCATTATTAACATAAAAAATACAACGAAATATAAGTAACTGTTCATGGCTTGCTGAACATCGCAATAAGTTTAGCAGGCTACACAAACTTTGATATTTTACTTTGATGTATGTATGCGTAAAAATAGAGAATATGCGTCTGATTCAAAAAAGGCTTAAATATATTTTGTTACGATTATTGTTGCTTTAGAAAAAAATCTATGTAAATATTTTTCAACAGTATTTCTTATTCATCTTAAAAATAAATTAATATAGAGTGTAAAAAATGCGGTAATGCTGTTCAAAATATTCAAACGCATTGCTACTTGTCAGATCGGATACTCAATACTCAATAAGTTTATTGTTTCCATAGGTAATTTAAAATAATGTTACATAATTAAGTTAGCCTCACCCATAGTGAGGTTCATAAACTCTGTTGCACAAATGTGACGAAAATGTACACGTATAGGGTTATCGTGGTTACAAAAAGTTATCATCGATGCAATAATATCAATGGGCCTCGTGTGTTCATAAGTTTTGAGAAGAAATAAAAGTTGCATAACTTTTTTAATAATTAACTTATATTTATAAAATTTTCAGTAACCATTAAATAGATAATAATCAACAATAAAATATAGATTTCATTCAAAATGACCGCCCTTGTTTTTAATACAGGCCCTTAAGACGATTTGGCCAGTCATCAATGGCGGCACAAATCTTTTCTAGCGGAATTAGCTTTGCTTATCGAACAAGGGTTCGCTTCAGTGACTCCAAGTTTGGGTGGGACTTTCGGTAGGCCTTAAGCTCCAATTCAGTCCATAAAGAATAATCCAGCGAGTTGAGGTCGGGGCTGGAGGGCCACTCGTCCGTCGCGAATTCGTGATGAAGGCGGGCACATTCTCCCTCCTTGTTGACAGAAATGGAGAGGAGTGACACCTTCATACGAAACTCCCCACCATACCATCACATTAGCCGGATGATGAGTGCGCGAGACATTCCGTGCTGAAGCTGGGACATCCTTGCTACTTTTAGAGTACACTTTATTGTTTTGTTGGTTGAGCTTTTCTTCGATAAAAAAGTTCTCGTCAGTGAAGAGAAGATACTCTTGGCATCATGTCTCCTCAGCAGCAATGGAAAACGTTCGCTTCGCAACTTACGAAGACGATCGTTTAAATAGTGAACTTTTCTACGGTTATAGGCCTTTACCTTAAGATCATATTTCAGTACATATTCTGTTCGCTTAAACACGCGAAATATTAGTTTGCAGAGCGAGTTTGGCGAAGTCATGGATTTCGGCGAAGTCGCTTTAAGATGATTTTGATGTTCGCAGGCGTCCTCACAGAGCGAAGCTGACCACTCCTTTTGCGATCTTGCAGAGAATTTGTCTCTTTGTACCGCTGTATTGTGTTATAGACGAAGTTACGGCTTACAGGAAAATTTAACAGTTCGTGAAAATTCTGCATCGGTTTTTTACCCACCTTGAATAGCGAAATGACAGTTGCACGTAATTGTTTTATTTCCTCCATCACGAGAAAATATAAACAAATGAACTTGCGATACAAATAAAATAAACTAACAGCTAGTTGCAGAAACGCACATTAAAATATTCATTAGTTTAAAGAGACATTAGCCATACAATTTTGACATTTATTAGAGCTCAAAGGCATCACTAAACCTTAACGGACGTTTGTGCAACAGACCGTAAGAATAGTAGAAGTAGTCGTAATTTCGTCCATGGGACAGGCGAAGGAACTAAGCCATACAGCCAAATCTTGGGACAAATAAACTAAGAGTTAACATTCAAAATTCAAAATCGGTAAAAAGAATAAATAACAGCCAATAACTTTTTTTTTCAGTAAAAAGCTTGTCTCAAAATTTATGAACACAAGAGGTATTATGTCGCAAAATAAGCAATAGATTATAATTAAAATTATGTTTTAGGCATTTATTTTGATTTCACCAATTTGGTACACTATTATGATTATTAAAAAACTCTATTATATTTTAAAAATCGATTAGTTGATAATCGATTTGGGTAATTGTATAATAATCAATGAGTAATATTAAAAAAAGAAACTACAAAAAATTATTTCATTAGATGCCAGCACAAATTAAAGGTTCTAATTGTCAATTCATGACGTTAAACCAAAGAGAATAGATAGAATAGACAGAAAAATCAGATAACTCGGATTAATATCGAGTTGAAATTCAATTAGTTTGAGTTAAGTGACATTCATTAGAAATACGCAAAATTTGTATTTATACATACAATGAGGAAATATTTAAAAAAGAAACAACTATTTTGTTTTCAGTAGATGGCATCACAAATTGTATAAAGGAAAATAGAAACTAACATAGTGGAAGTGAGAATTGAGCATAGAGAAGGTTTTTTGAAAGTTGTGGAAATCAATGTAATTAATGTTGTTAAATTATTAAAAGTGGCGTTTAGCTACGAAATACAATAATATTACCGTGAAATATGTTTAATAAATAAAATACTTATGCCATAGTAGATCTACGAATTTTGATTATAATATTAAACTAAAGTTCTGAAAACATTTACAACTAGGTAAGTTAGTTTTGTTGCTATTAGTTGTTTGTTGAACTTATAGCAACAAAATTACATCAAGGTCTCAATCATATTTTTTTTTATATAATGTTTGGTGAATTAATGAATAGAGAATGAATGAATGAAAATGAATGATTAGAATGAATGGGACGGGTCGTTACGTTCTCGCAAACATAGATGAGCGAAGCGATGGCCGACTCATGTGTCAAGCTCGTCAACGGGTGCCAGTTGGGTGAGTCTGCACTGGCCTATTTAAATTTGTCCATTTTCTTTTATTATGAATTTGTATATTGATTTGTCAATGAGTATATAGGATTTCTGATACTATGATGGACAGTGACTTCATAGTCTAGTTAAGTCACATTCCAATAAGACTTCTCTGTGGTAAATAAAACGGAGAAAAAGCAGTCTTTGCTGAATTTCTTGCCGGGTCTTCTCAATACAAGATCCCCCGCCTTAGTTTTGCGAACCGTTGGCAAAGTTTTCGACTTTCACAAGTGCTATGTAACAGTCTAAGCTGAATTGATTTTGATACTCATATTAATATAATTCGACGTGTGGATGCATAATAGCACATGTGGAAAAATGGCACATAAAAAAAAACAAGCTGAATTCAACGCTCCGCTTTTTGTTCTTGATTCCAAACCTGAATTCGGATGAATCGAGTCAATTGAAGTTACGAGTAACCAATAAGTTGGCTTATCACTAATGTTGACATACATA